AGTCAGGGTTGATTTCTTTTAGGATTGACTGATTTGATCTTCCTGCAGTCCAAGGGACTCTCAAGAGTCTTCTCCAGCACCATAGTTCAAAAGAATCTATTCTTCGGCGCTCGGCCTTCCTTATAGTCCAACTCTCGCAGCCATACATGACTACTGGGAATACCATTGCTTTGATCATGTAGACTTTTGTTGGCAGGGTGATGTCTCTACTTTTTATCATGCTATTTAGGTTCGCCATCGCTTTCCTCCCAAGGAGCAGGCGTCTTTTAATTTCATAGCTGCTGTCACAGTCTGCGGTGATCTGGGATCCCAGGAACGTGAAATCTGTCACTACTTCCATGACTTCTCCTATTTGCCAAGGAGTGATGGGGCCGGATGCCATGACCTTAGTTTTTTTGATGTTGCGCTTCAAGCCCACTTTTGCGCTCTCCTCTTTTACTCTGAGCAAGAGGCTCTTGAGGTCCTCTTCACTTTCTGCCATTAGAGTGGTATCGTCTGCATATCTGAGGTTGTTGATCTTTTTCCCAGCAATCTTAATTCCCGCTTGTGATTCATCCAGGCCAGCATTTCGCATGATGTACTCTGCATATATATTAAATAAGCAAGGTGACAATATACATCCTTGTCGTACTCCTTTTCCTATGCTAAACCAATATTCTATATCCTAGTAGGCGACTAACAACCTCTGCTCCACATGCCCAGTCAGCAAGCATGTTCTGGGTTAGGAACTTTTCCCAGGCACATGGAGGCCTGATTTGAATCAGTACCATGGCACTCAGGGAGAGGGGGGCTTGTGCTGTTTTCCTGCCCTTTAGTGGCCTTGGGGAGCTGCTATTTGCCTCACTGGGAACATGAGTCATTTTTAACATGCAAATCAGCCCTTAATCTATGCTTGCTTTGACAACAGACCAGGCATTCTTGGGTACCAAGATTTTGCCAGTTTATTTAATTCATTTGTACCCTGCCTTTGTCCCCAGCAGGGACTGAATACCGCTTATCATTCTCCTCTCCTCCATTTTAACTTCACAACAACCCTGTGAGGTAGGTTACGTTGAGAAAGAGTGACTGGCCCTAGGTCACACAGCAAGCTTCCATGGCACAAACGTGTCTCTCCCAGATATCAGTCTGACACACTTAACCATTACACCATGCTGTCTCTCCTGTATATGCTCCTAGTTTTACAAAACAGCCAATGAAAATCAACTGACTTCAATATGTGCAGGATCTATCCCACCGACGAATAATTTATAAACTAGACGATATAAAACAAATGAACACCTATATAAAACTTTATAATCATACATAATATACAGCCCTGCCCAGATATTAGGGTTCTCTCTTTTCAGTGTCTGAGCCCTTGACTAGCACAGCATTAGAATTTTGTTCTCTTTTGCAAGTTTGCACCTGCCTGAGCCCTTGACTTCTCACACATTACTGCCAATGGTCCCAGTGACTTCACTAGCACAGCATCAGAATTTTGTTCTCTTTTGCAAGTTTGCACTTTACCCTAATGGAAGGTATGGCCTTCAGTGTTTTGGATTTCACCAGAATACACAGGATTTTCCAGATTAATTAGTTTACACAAAACTCTTTCAGATTAAGGGCAGTAAAATTTGGATTATTATGTAAAGCCACTATGTGTAATGCATATTAAGAGTTTGAACTGTGGCTCACCTTTTCCTGGAAGGGTTCCTGTTCCTCTAGCAGCTGTGTGACAAGCAGAACAAGCATTTTCTTCAGCAATAGATGTAGCTGTGGGAAAAGCAAGACCTGCTAAATTATTCTTCTTAGGCATCGGTTAGATCATTGGTGCTCTCTGAGAAGGAAATAGATTTCTGTAGGGCCAAGCCAAATTCCTCTTCTGTTTTTTTTTTTTATTCTGGAAGGCGGCAGTTTATGAATTTAGTGTAAGATGGTTTATGCAGTTACTCTGAAGAAATTGGTTCAGTTGCTCTAAAGGAATACCTCTTGACTTGAAGCACTTAAGGCCTTAATAATCAGATTTTTGTGTGTTTGTTTTGACAAGTGGGTGACCTACATGGACTTGCAGGGGGCTTCTCATTTTCCACTCTCCCACTATTTCATCGGCTTCCTAAAAGCCCCCCATACCCTCTCCCCTATTTCTGTTTCCTTCTGACCTTCTCATCCACCAGCCAATCTACCTTTATCTGCCCCCCCCCCAGCTGTTCCTGTTGCCCTCCCACTGGGAAAACTCTGTGCGGTTCCAGCTACCAGACTGAGTCAGTTTGCATGGTGCCAGAGACCATTACACCCAGTTTTGCAGTGGGGAACCTGCAGGGAGCACTTCACTCTCCCCTCGATTTCCCTCTCCATACTACTTAGCTTTTCTTCCTCCTAGCAGGCCCCATAGCCTTAACTTTCCCTGCTAACGTCTCTCCTTCTCACCCACCCACCAACCAACCCAGCTTTTATCTGCCCCCCCATCTTTAGCCATGTTGTTTATTTATTCATTTGTACCCTGCCTTTCTCCACAACAAGGACCCAAAGCAGCTTACATCACTTCCCCCCTCCATTTTATCTTCAAAACAATGCTGTGAGGTAGGTTGGGCTGAAAGTATATGAGTGGGCGAAGATCACCTAGTGAGCACCGTGCCAGAGAGGTGATTCGAACTTGAGTCTTCCATATCCTAGTGTGAACTGGCTTTTGGGGGCTGGCTGCTGTTGAACAGTCGCAAGCGGCCAGTCCTGGGCAAGTCACACAAGTCACCCCATGGTTACTGCCTGGCTTAGCCCCACAGAGTCCTCCCTCAGAGGCCAAAACAGTTCTGGAAAGGGCCCTGCCTTCATACTGACAGAAACCAAGGCTGGCAATACTTGTGGTTGCATAGCGAAGGACACTGAATTGGCCTTTTCTTAAAGCTATTATTGTTAGAGTTGTGGGGTTTGTTTACTGTATTTTTTCAGATTTCTCTGCAAACTTGTTCTTTTCTGAGGTCTGTAGAAAGGTCTGTCTTGTCTGTTCATGTCTCCAGTCTCTGGATTGAAGTATCCACAGATTTGGCCATGCTGAGAGTTGAATGTATTGATACCCTGCCTACCCCGTTCCTTCCAGAGCAAGGCTAGCCATTTTAAAAGGAACTATGAATGTAAAACCTGTCTTATACAGGGTTAGATTTTCAACCGAATTAACTCAGTATTGCCTACTTTAGTTGACAGAGCTTTCTCCGGGATATTAGGCAGAAAAAAGCCTTACCCAGTACCTGAGATCCTTATTTAAGTAGACATGCCAGGGATTAAACCTGGAACCTTTTGCATGCAAAGCAGGTACTCCGCCACTGAGCCATGAGCCATCCCTAGTATAAGATCAGTATATTCTCCACTAAAAATAATGTGCTCTAACATTCTCCACGGCTTTGGATGAAGAATCATGTATGTCTGATTTTTTTACCACGGCTACCAGCTCCTGTCAACACAACTCGCATACCCTCACACAACCTGTGGCATTTATGCTACAGATGTGCTGTATGTGTGCTAGAGAACCTTGCTAATCAAATAAACAATTGCAGGTAAAGCTAAATTAATGGTTGCAAAGAATTAACTCCCAGCCCTGAAAATATCCTGCTTGTTAAATTGTCCAGAAGAGCATTTTTATAAATGGAATGTATTTAGGGTCTGTGAAATTGTAGGCCAGTGATCCAAGTGGTGCCTTCTTGCTTCTTCCCCAAAACACCTCTTCCCCAAAGCCACTCTCTGCTTCACTGGAAGACACCAACCTTTAGGTCAGAAGAGGGCACCCATTTGGTAATAGCTGCTCCCATCATAGCAGGATAGTGGGCTTGTAAACTCCAAACATTTGTCCTGTATGGCAGCCATTTTGTGAATAGCCCCATTGCCCCTTGGTAGCCATTTTAAGACGATGCCCACTGTGCTGTCTCAAAGTTTCCCAAGTG